GTATACGAGATAAGATAGTTGTTCCAAAAGGGTTATTTTTAATGTAGAATAACAATATATATATAACTAATTTTATAGGTAATATTAAGTAACATCAATAAAAGCCTCGCACTATTAATTTTGTTTAGATATTTCACATAGTTTTTAGGTGGCAAGACATAATATAAATTCAGTGAATAAAAAAAATCTGTGTCGCATAGTGTAAACTTTCCTTCCAATTAACGTTTTTTTAATACAACGTATAAAACGGTTATAACTTTTAATAACGTAAGTTTAATATTTTCTAAAAGTGTTCACACAAATTGGGGTTTCCCAATTTCTTCCAGTTTTTGCGGACCCTTTAATTAAACAAAGGATAACTTAATCATTTTGAACAGAAGCTCTCATTTATTTTAATGTCCCGAAAAAACATTTCCGAGCAAAACAATTACCTTTAATAAGTTTCGAGAGTGCTGTCGAAATGTTGATTTTATTAAGTGTATTGTTTTAAAAATTAATGTAATATTTCTATACTTCATAAAATATTGACCAAAGATATCAGTTTCTAACAAATATACAAGCAGACACAAATGTTATATTTAAACCAAGACAATATTACATGTTAAGTATTTTAGTGTATTACCTTATGCAACTTATCTTAGCTTTTAATAATTCAAACAAATTTCCCTACAGGAAAGTATTCTATGTTAGGAATTGTGATGACTTCCTACTTCCGTATGATCACAGTAAAAGAATTGGAACAGTTTTCCTGCGGCTATGTTTCCTCACACAGTTCGATGTATTTAATTCAAGTGTTTATACAGGGTGATTGGTGAATTACTATAAATATTTGAGGAGAGTAATCGGTACATGATTCTCATTCGAATTATGTAAAAAAAATAGGTACTTAATTTTTGACCAAATTTCCGTATAAATAAATAAAGTGTGTGTGTATACCTAATCTGTAGGGTGGTCACACGATGCGTAATTAATTACATAACTTTTGGTTAACTTTACTTAGAAGTTTTTTAATATTTATGTTATATTAATTTTTATTTTGTCTTATATGATCGTCAAATATCACGTCCTCAAGTATCGATAGTAATTCACCAGTCACCCTGTATAATTTTTCTGAGAAAGTACGTTCACTACCTACTAATACTTGTACTGTGGATCTGGTTGGATAATATTAAAGAACTATACAGATAAAAAGTACGTGATGGTCTACAAGTTAAAGACCCGCTTCTCGAGCATGAGGGCGCGAGTTCGAAACCTAGCAAGTATCAATTTGATTTTTCTGAGTGATATGTACTTTCTAAAAGTATTTAGACACCACTGACAGACAGTGAAGGAAAATATCGTGAGGAAACCTGATTTATAATTTCAAATTATAAATTTGAAATAGCCAGCCTGTCTTGAGCAAGCGTGGTGATTACTTCTCAAACCTTCTCCATGTGAGAAAAGGCTTTCTTTAGCAGTGGTCTCTAATAGGCTGATGATGATGATGATGATTATACAATTCAAAAAAGAAAAAATAATTATTATAACGATATTAGAAAATGAACATTGTTCTATAATTTTTTTCCAAAGCCATAGTAACTAACTTATGTCTCATATAGTCTAAGCCCAGAGTAACTTAACAGGGTGCAAGATGTTAACTTAGATAGCAAATTTGAGATTAATAAGTTCAAGCTATCCTCTAGTGCATTGTATCACATAAGTTGATAAATTGAATTACTCTAGTACATATAGAATTAGCATTAAATTGGATTTTCATTATTTATAGAGAAAAAGCAAAATAACAATTTGTTGTTGACAATATTTTAATTTGTATTTATTTTCTTATAGTTAATTAAATTCAATAGTCCAATTATTTTTTATTTCTTACATACATATTTGTATATATGTCAAACAGCTAAGTATAGTATACTCCTTGTACCTATTCGTTTTAATATATTGTAGTCATTATATATACATTATGACAAAGTCTATGTTTTTCGTAGGTCTTCAGCATATTATCACATTTTGATTTAGTTTTTAAGTTACTTGAAATAAAAAGAAGATTCTACTCAACTTTAAACTTTGAATTAGTTGTTCAAACTATGCGCTTGACTTTTGAGAATGTCTCTCTATCCAAACCTCTACAAATTCAGTTCCAAAGTCACTTCGCAACTTGACCTATTTTTCGTCAAGAATCCTTAGTAATGAAGCTATGTTGCAAATAATTTTCGAGATTCCCAACACAAATTTACAGTCACTTCTACAAGACATTAGTTTTTTTCAGTTTAAAATCCTTTTATAGGATATCATTATTATCTAATAATTGGTTTCTACAATGATAATAGCGTTTATATTACCTAATTATTTCAATTATTCCTCTCACTACCATATATGATTTAGTATCTATTTTTCAAACATATATTTCATGTTTTTTACATCGTTATAATCAAAATTATTTTTCTATTATTCGTTTTAAAACTGTTTTCAACAACAACTCAAAGCTCATGAAACTCTAATTTGTTTATTAGATTTTTTTATTTCCAGTTCGCACTAGTTCATATAATGTAGGGCAAATTATTATTTTTATACATCGAGCGTATACTTTGAAAACCCCTTTTATATAACTGGCGTATACTTTGAGTAACCCTGATTACATAAGTAAAACGTTGCTGACAATATATATTTGGTAAAAATTTATATCTAAAAATAAAGTTTTTAATTGGGAAAGTACATATGTACAGGTTTTTAAAGTTTCGTACTTTTTATCAGAAGTCAACATTTCAAGCGAACTTTGACGGTTTTTATTTAATAATCTTCTATTAAACTAAACTTAAATGTGATAAATTAAATAATTTTTGATATAATTAACACAGATCATTTTAATTATAATCAAAACTTATTTATTCTAATAATCTCAAATTATTTAGTTTTCCAAATAAAGGGTGTGTACATTACTGTGTTAAATAAAGATATATTAATTGATTTATAATATTAAGCAACTGTAAGTTATAATATAAATATAATAGAACTGAAAGTGCACTGCTTAAGCTTTAACCGTGTGAATTTAAATGTAAAAATGTAATAGTAATTGTTAAAATGAATTGCATTTTCATTTATTGCATTTCTCAAAATGTTATTCTTTTGAAGTGTTGAAATTGTTAAGAGCTTTACGTTGTTTGGTATTCCAGTTAGAGGGAAGGCCCGGCTTTGTGAGTGGAGAATAAATTATGAGCGCTCTGCAAAATTCCATTGTACTAACAAGAGAAATTTACAAAAATGACTTCGCATAATGGCCTTTTAAAATTTTCTGTATGAACATATTCGAATGGTAAAATTGCTTTTTTTCTTTTGTTAGAATATGTGTTTAATAAAAAATATTTCTGCTCATAAATTGGTATAAGGTCTAAAAAATATACATATTTTCCATTTACTATAATTTCATTTCTCTCATATTAAAAATCCTTTAGTTCTAGATTTATATCAATAGAAATGAATATCGTGTCCGAATAGAATATCGTTTTGTCTTCTTGAAATCTTTATTATTTAAAATTAAATATCAAAAAGGATTACTTATTCAACAGCATTAAAGCAACCTAAAACTATATTTTGTGGATAGTACGATAAACTGTCCGGAAATTATAGGTCAAGGGTAGAGAAATTAAAGAAACATATATTATGTTAAACTTGAACGTGTTATCTGTGGTAGTTAAGTAAAATAACCGCAACCATAACTGTAACCTTGGTGTAAAGGTCGCTTACAAGGAAGGGCATCATATACATATATATGTCTTACGAGTATAGTTAACATTTAAGGCAAAATAGATTATGATCATAGATTCAAATAGTGTTTGCATTAAAATGTATTAAAAAACAAACCAAAAGTTCCTTTGTTTTTTTCAACAAAGGATTATCGTATATTAGTTACGTCTTCTTCTTCTGACAATTTCCCAGCTTTAGCCAGGGTCTGCCTTACATGTCGTGAATAGTTTTGGCTAGTTGTTTTCACGACCGACCGCCTGCCTGACATCAACCTTCTTTGGGAATGTATTAATTAATGATGTCTAAAATACTCTTACAAAGTACATATCATTCGGAAAAATCGCATTGGTGCTTGCCCCGGCCAGGATTGGACCCGCGCCCTCTTGCATGAGAGGCGGGCCTTTTAACCACTAGACCACCACTGACGTATGTATATTGGCTAAAACAACATAATTTGTCGATGGCCTATAAGCTTTATTTATATTTTGCCATAAATAAAGGGTTCAACTCCACACAAATGGAAACGCATTGTTTTGTACTGTCAGTTTAATTTATGAGTCGTGAAAACAAAAATAAAACAACGCATCATTTAATAATATGTTTAAAAATGTATAAGGCAATTTAATATTTATTCCTTTTATTGTAAGGAATTTAAAACGAATATAGTTGTAAAGAAACATAAATATATGTATGTAGATTTAAAAAATAATAATAGTCAGATGATTTATTTTATTCTTTTTTATTATTTCTTTTCTTTATTCTTCATCAACATTCAAAGGTATGTATACCACATAGCGTATATTGGTAGAAGAAAATTAAAACCCTACCAAATTATTGAAAACAAAGTATTTTATTCCGCATGTATACGCATGTGTACGCGCTACATATGAAGAAGTAAATGACATCTCTTTATGAGTTAAATATCATATAACGATTGACGTTGCTGACACCGCGGAACGAACACTAAGCCGTGTGAACCAGAAGATACCTTACACCATACAAGCAATAGAACGTCATTGTCATGTTAACATCGGGGCAATCATGTAGTCTTAGGTACACCTAACCTAGGTTACAAGTTTTAAAATGTAATTCTTATTTTAATAAAGATATAAGTATGTTTCGTACTTTTACTGGAACGTCCGCTTGCCACCCTATTTAATTCGCATAACCGTTTTAGTTACTCACAAAACAATATGTATGTAAAAATACATATGTATGTAAGGTATGAGCTACAAATTCATTACAGGCATAACGTTAATTCATCAAGACGTTACTGGACAAATTGGGATGAGCAGATGCCGGCTCCTAATTAGCACGAGATTGGAGGAGCTCAAGCCTTGCATTATACATGCTTGGGTGTCATAATACATCTCGTCATCTAAAGATTATATAATTAGCAGAATAGCTTTGATATTATGGATTATTTGTTACTGAAATATGTTATTTTGATCATTATATTTTTATAACTCAGCTCCTATAACAGTAAGAACAATTGTGTTAAGCAATACATATTTTTATACCAAAGCAAAAGTGAGTTTAACTGAACAAAATAATAACTTTATATTGTGAGATCTAAGATTTTCGCGAGTATTCATTTAAATGAAACTAATATTCTCAGATTTACTACGCAATTTTTTATTTTTGATAATAAATGACGACGCAATTTTCCCATGATCACGGTTGCTGTAAAGTAACTGAAACATAGGGAGTATGTAGTTTTTTTTATATTGGATTTAAAAGATCTCATGATTGGAATAAGATTGTCGGAAACTATTTATTTTGTAAATATTTTGTATTATCACGTAGAATTAAATACTTTCTACCCATGAATAGCTCCATTTTTAAGCAGAATAATTTCATTTACATACTTTTACTCACCTTACAACAATACTCTACTTCAGAACAACCACTCTGATAAACTATTGAAACTTAAGTAACTGTGACTGATCTTTTAGCTGAAAACCAACTCAGTTGAGGATATATTAAGTTAACAGGCTATAAGTGAAAAAGCATTACCTTCTAAATATACGTATTATAATTATTATATTGGTTTTGATATATGTAACATTTGTGTTAAATATACGCTTTATTATTTGATATATAAAGTATATAAGCTTCAAGTTTTAACAAAAACAAACGAATGATTTTCGATCATAATTTTAGATAAATCTCCTGAAATTATCACACGATCTTCTATTCGGAGTTATTGGAATTGAAATCTCGGCTATCAGATTTCAAAATGTTATTAAATCCATGCTAAATATTCATTTCAATCTATCTCAAATACAGAATGAATAAAAATCTGTTAACCTAACGCGATGGCATCGGTTGAAAGTGGCTCGAGCCAAATTGGCCGTAGACTAAATCGGGCCGGATTAAATAGTTCTTACTGAAGCTCGAAATTTCCGATTTCTCTGTCTATTTCCAAAAAATTCTTCTCCATTTTGCTTTGAGTCAAATAGAATATCAGATTTTTTGATGGAAACATCTCTGTAACTGACTTTTTTGGCTATTTTATAAGCTATAGGACAGTTATAAAGTCCAATTCAGTTTTGATTCCAAGCTGTATTGACAAGTGAAGCTAAAAATAAAGAGAATAATAAAAGATATCCATTATGTCATTATACTGAAACAAAACAACTTAACTTTTGCCCTTTTTACGATCTTCTGGGTTCTTTTTTATGATAAACCATAGTCAGTATGAAAACCAAAAGTAATAGTTTAAATACAAACAGAAAATCTTTAGCTATATCAAAATAAAGGTGGAAAGAAGTTTATAACTAAAACTATTTAATAAAATACCTTCCATGTAATATAAAATTATATTTTTCAAGAAAAAATACAGCAGATTAAAACGAGGTTATACTCATTTAATCAGTGGAGTGAGCTAACCATGAGAAACTACTTCAGGAGATACTCAAAGAGAACTAAAACGAGCCAAGACTTAAGAAATTGGATTAATAATAAAAAATTGAGATGAGTTTACAAAATTATTAAATTAATTCTAAAAGATTTTAATCTTATGAAATGGGAGTTCAACTTTTATATATATTTAATATTTTGTTGTTTTAATTCACATTGATAACACACGGAGATTTCGATTAGAATATTCACAAATATTTACTTATTTTAGTATTTGTCTATATGATTTTATTAGTACAAAAAATGCACTAATATATATCTTCTTTTTGTTCCTGACAGTTTCCCAGCTTTAGCTAGGGTCTGCCTTACATGTTGTTAATAGTTTTGGCTGATTGTTTTTATGACCGGCCGCCTGCCTGACTAATATATATATACATATATGTGTGTGTTGTTGTGTGTTTATCAACTAGGTCCCCCCAACAGTTAACACCTTATTGGACGTCATATTACATCCTAAATACTGTAAATACAAATACGATTGTATCACCTAAAATAAAATACTATTCGTTCAGAGAAATCTAACGTAGCATTTTCTATCTCAGTTACCTCTCAGCATTGACCAAAATCGAAAACGTTCATCTTTAATATTATCATTGAAATAGCATCCGTATGTCTTTAGGATAAGAATCAAAATGTAGCTATTAATAGTGATATACCTGTAAAAATATTGTATGCTATGTGTTAGTAAATACAAAACAATGTATCTCAAAGGATCAGAGTATTGAGGATAGCTTTTATAACTTTTTCTTTTGGGAATAAAGAAAGGAATGGGTTGAAGTTGATCTAATTGCTATTGCTAAAACGTTTTACGTAGTTTCATACGGCATAAAATAAAGAAGATATATAGTTTATAATGAATTAAACTTTTTCTTTCTTTGATAGATTTTAATGACATTATTTTATGTCCCAAAGGGGCAAACGAGCAGACGGCCTACCTCATAGGAGGTAGTTACTGACGCCCATGGACATTTGCAACATATGAAGTGTTGTAGATGCGTTTCCGACCTTGTTTGTTGAGATACTTTGATTGTTATTTTCATAATTATCGTCTTTTTAACTCTTGTTGTTAAAATGTAGCTCCCTCTCTAGTTAAAATAATATTTGCGTTGTTACTTTCTGTATTTTTGACATCAATAACATCTTTCCATTTAAACTATACAGGAATTTCTTAAGTGTACTAAACATTATACTGTTAAATTGATTTGGTGAGCAAAATAATATTACATATTTAAAAAGATAAACTAAAATTTTTAGAAAATTCCTGACGTGAGACAGAATTTTACTCAAATTATTTATTTCAAGTTGTATAAATATAAGATGCTCTGAATTTCTAACAAACTTTCTTTGATTTAAGGCTCTTTTCTGTAAGTTACATTTCTCAGTTGAGAACACGACTTCAAGTGTCCCGTAAAATTTACAGACCGCTGCAGTCTTTGTTACGATTCAAAAACTTTGCGACTTTTCAAACCAAAATTTATATAATATTCATTGTGTTATTATTTAATATTTAATTAACTCTTAGTTGTAATATATTTGGAATATAAATGTTTAATGTACTTACGCAAACGGAGTCAGTAAAAAAAGAAGTAACGAATGTACATACTTGCTTCTTATATTAAATTGTAATAAAATTTTCTCCTTACTCCCCTTGATAGATGACGGTCCAAGTCTTACCAGTTTGTCTTAACCCATGTCCGACTGTGAAATTACTTAGGACAGATCATAAATCTCATTCTCTTATTGTGAAACAATATCTCTTAAAGAATCATTGTTATAAATACGTAACACTAAGTATATATATTATATGTGTGTGTGTGTGTGGGTGTGTGTGTGTGAGTGTGCGTGTCTGTGTATGTGTATGTGTGTGTGGGAGTACAAATGTGGAATCAAAAGCAGACAAAGAATACTCGTACATATATACATACTGTCACATTTTATGTATATAAAAATTTCTCGTAACTTGCATAACCCTGTTTTGATCTACCTACTTATAACTTTCCGTCTGACGAATATTTGCAGGTCAAAGCTTCAAAATAACATAAATTTTCTCTATTAACATAATAATAGGTTTCTCTTTCATTGAGAAAAGTACTGTAAAAAACATTGTTGTTGTTCGTGTACCAGCAAAATTTCACTTGGGATTCACGACCATCCATCTTCTTTAAGAAATCTTACAAGAATGGAAGAAAATTATTCTTGAATGAATCTTGTTTTAGCTCGTTGTAAATTAAAAAAGTTATATACTTTGAAGGATAACTTTCACTTCTCAAAAAAGTTTTGGTTAAGTAAAATTTGATTACAATATACGGCTTACTACTTTGACAGTGCCAAATACGTCCAAGGTAATCTACATATATCCTAAATATCAATAGTTATTTTCTGATATGGTGCTAATTATGACATTAAAGAGTTTTATAAATATATAAGAAAACAAGTATATTTGTCGGTCTTAGTACCACCCTAGTAAAATATCGTTACCTTAATGATAAATTAAAATTTTTGTAATGATAGTTTTAAGACTTAGTTCGTGAAACACAAACAGATAAATAGTAATAGTCACATTTATAACAGTAGGAAAACATACGCAGGTACCGCACACTTTCACATATATGTGTATAATCATACACACACACTATCACTTTGTACATCTCTAAGTGATAGTCTATTTAAGCTCTGCCTCGTTGATTAGTCTTAAGTAACAATAGATTACATCTATCCATTGTAGATGCTATGTCAAAGCAATCTACTAACTAGTCCTGGAATTCCAAGCCTATAACCACAACTGAGATAAATCAGGGATGCTGCTTTTTGTTTCACTTTAAATTAACTTCATTCCTCTAAAGGTCATTTTAACTATGTATATAACTTGTTAACGCGATCGGTTATTAAACATTTAATTACATAACATTTTCAGTGCGAAATAAAATTCTATTTAGTTTCGAGAACACACAAATTATTTTGACATATTTTTTCAAATGATTTTACACCGTATAGTATGAATTATTGAGTCATTTTGCTATAAATATTATATTTATAATACTATTTTGAAGTATTGTTTGTGGTCCTTGCGGTTATTTTGCCCTCAACCACATTCCCAATATCAATTTTTCACGAAAAATTGTATGTAGCGAAATGCTCAGCACATAAACCTGTCATTTTATTTCATACTATATCAAATGTTATAGTATCTTAAGGGGCAATAAAAATATAAAAAACGTTGAGTAAAAGGAAGTAAACATAAAAGATATAACTCAATAGCTATCAGTATAATATAATGTTAATCATTTGCATTGATATAAATGAATACTCGCGAAAGTCTTATATAACATTGCTTAAATTGATATTTTTTGTGCTCTTTTATTACTTTTTCTGGTTAAAGAATACCACTAATCTTCTATATTTTTTCAACGGACGCAGATGGTACCATTAATATTCATAACTTTATATTTTTAAGAA